TCTAATGTAGTAAAGGCAGATGAACAATGGAAGCCCTCTCTCAAGGATCTATTTTCCATGGCAGGACTTCACACAGTCAGGGACTTCCCTGCTTGCCCAGACATGGTCATGGTTGATGTGCTTGTGTTGGCTTGATAGAGGAAAGCGAAAAGCAAGGAGCCACATAGAGGAGGACCCCTTTGAGGTCAGGTCTTGTTAGGACCAGCAGACTTGGGAATGTGTGTCCAGAAACTACTTGTTTGTGTTTGTTTCTACTGTATTCAAGCAAAGGAAAAAACACTGTTTATTCTTCTGTAAATAAACAAGATCACATGGAGAAATACACTACATTTATATTATCAGTGTCTCTTCCAAATAGAAAGGCTGTAACAGGTGACAGTATACTTACAGTCTGTTCCTTGAACCTTTCAATGCTCTCTCTCACACGGAGGAAGAACTAGGGTAAGAACATCTTCACATTCTGCAAATTGCAGTTTGGTTTCTTTGCTGCAAGCTGTAAAAATCTCACTGCAAACATTTACAAGTTAGTCTGAGCCACAGGAGCTGTAACTGGTACATGGTGCTTCCAATGCAGTTTGTTTACAAGATGAAGGCATTAGCCCCAGCCAGAGCAGGAACACATAGCACCAACATTGGGAAGCCTTGCTTAAGGAAATCCAGACCGACAACCTCTCTTCCTACTGCAAATCACTGCCTGGTCCAATTTCCAGTTTGACTGCTGCTCTATTTCCTCAAGCACACCTGCAGGTAAAAAGGCATCACAAGCAACACGCCGGCCCCAGGTGAGGAGCAAGTGAGGTGATGGTGCCAGCTGTCTGTACAAAGGAGCTGCTATTGGTCCTCCTTGGCTGGAAGGGTGGTTGGTCGGTAGGTGCAGCTTTGGCTTTGAGAGGGCAAGGGAGACAAGCCACAGAACAAACAGGAGCAATAAGAAGCATCTTCAGAGCTCTGTCAAGGATTCACGGAGTGTTTTGTCTATCTGAGAGGGGAAAGAAGATGGACGAAAAAATATTCCCCCCTGCCCCAGGCAGAGAGGGGACACTGGCAGGATCAGGAAACATGATGGCATCTTTCACCACGGCAGCACCCAGTGAGTCCCCACTTGGCTAGTAGTAACAGACACATTCCTGAACGCCTTCATTCCTAATATGAGTGTTAGTCCCCCGATCTCACTGGAGCTGAACACTACTAAAATGCCGCTATAAGTCCAAGCAAAAATGGAAAAAAACTGTTATTTGCTGATTAAATGCTGCTTTTGGCCTGTCTCTCTTGCACAGAAGAATGAGCAGGCTCAGACTTGCTTTTCCCCATATATCAGAGACTGGCCCCTAACAGGACAAGAAGAACAAGACTGAACCGGAGGGACCAGAGACAAGGAACCTGCAAGACCTCCAGGTCCTGCCATGCTGGCTCATGGAGAACTTGCTGAGCCCTGTAGCCCTGCTACTACGTGGTTGCTGCCTTCATAGGTTACTGCTCCAAACCCACCTGCAACATGAGTAGAATGGGCTTGAGCTTACTTTGCTTCTTTCCATACCTCAAGACACCCAACTATGCATTATGGTCACCCGCATCTAGATGGCTCCCCTTGCTACACTGCCATCTCTCTCCCAGCTGCAATGCCTGAAACCCCCAAGGGCAGAGTTTCCTTAATTAATCATCAGGCAGATTTTTTTCCCTGTCTCTTTTTCCATTTCTGAGTTGCGACGTTTCCTGCCAACTTTCTGCTTGGCGTGAATTTCTACAACAGAGCAATATATCTTCTGAAAATAGACACTTACACTGGAAAGCCTGACACACCCTATATGGAGCCTATGAGTGGCAGAACCATAATCAAAAGCCAGTCAAGACACTAGGCCATGCTAGCAGCATTCAATTAAGGCTCTGAGCAAAGCAACACTAAGAGAAGAAAGTAAATGGGAACTCTAAAAACGCTGTTGCACAGAACCCCCCAGGCTCTTTTCACCACTGAGAGGCATTTGAGTTTGTACTCTTTATGGTAACCCTAGCTCGGGCGAGTTATTCCAATACAGCTGGCACGTTCAGAACCCCTTTAAAAATAAAAATTCATGGAAATGGCCAACCTGCCATGATTTCCTGATATGAAACTGCATGCAAAGCCTATGGGGAAAAAAACCTGTAGTTGTATGATACAAGTCTGAGCTCTGCCTGTCATTAACAAGGGTGTCTTTTTCAGGGTAAAATTCTCCTGGGCCAAATAACAGGAGACTGATAAATAAAGCTTGTCAACTGCCCTTTCTGACTCACTCTCTCCTGCTGGAAGGATGACTCACTGTCATGTGTGAAAGGCTGCCAGGTCTTGCTTACATGCTTAAACAAGCATGGGTTAACGTCCACGTTAGACATACATTACCTCAGAAGAAGCAGACACTTAATGCTGAGAAGGCAGCCCTGGAAAAGATTCTGCTGACTAAAGTATCTGAACTTCAAGGTATTTCTCAATCCTTTCTGGAAAGTTCAAGGTTGTTGTTAGATTACCACAGAAAACTTAGTCCCAAAGCCATGGCTGAGGGCTTGGCTGATGATCACAGTGTTTTAAAACCAGGACTCACCTGGACCATCAGATTTTACATAGGCAATTCCTGCAGAGTGAGCCAGACAGCATGTTCTAGGTGCAGACAGAAGTAACTGAGAGCATGCCTGGTCCAGAGCTGACTTTTGTCCAAGGAAAATGGCATGGCAAAAGCAGTCACCTGTTGCTCACTATTTTATGGTGAGAAAGTATGCCCATGGGGCTGCTCCACTTAAGGAGACTATGAGGAACCTGCTCTGAAGCTGGAGAAGGGCAAACATAGCATGTTGAACATCATCTCTCAGTCTGAGTAGCTCACTGATTGTTTTTGAGCAACACCGGTAGCTGCTCAGTGCTTCCTCCTCTCTGCAGTGACACAGACCTTGCAGGTAAGCGACAGTGCACAAAAAGCTCGTCCACATCCAGGAGCTCTGCTGCCTACGTGAGTGCGTGCTCCACCCTTCAGTCTCCTCCTGTCATCCCAGGCCCACCACAGGCCAAGTGTGCAACTCTGAAATCTCTGCCCCAGGCACTGCAGGGACTGTTCACAAATCCCAGTTATTAGCAAATACCACAGACTACATTGCCCTGCAGGGCTGATGTGGCAAAGGACTCTTTTCCCTCATACTCTTTCCAAGGCCCCGTACAGTGCCTGTTTGCTTGGACGTGACAAAGGAAGGCGCTTTTGCAAGGACTAGTGCACTGGGATGTCAATCCACAGATCAGCTAAAGAGATAAAGCTGTACCCATCGTTTAGGATATAGAGGACTCCTAATGCAGGAACTGAAAGGTTGCTCCCAAGACCATGAGAAGGAAGCTGTGCTGTAGCCTCCCTCAGCTCCAGGTATTAGCCAACATCTTGCTGCATCATTCAGTAAGGAAACCATGCTGCTGCAGGGCAATCATACCACAACTGCCTGTTGCATGTTCGGCCAGGTATGCACCATCCAGGAGTCACCCATGCAGCCGGGAAAGACAGTTGCACATGCTTGAGCTCAGCCAAGCTCTCAGGAAACCTGCAACTAAAGCACCGTCTCAAGGTCTTGTCACCATTTTTCAGACCATATGAGCACTAACCTGCCTGCCCAAAATTAATGTATAACCTAGAAATGTTGATTTTGAATAAAGAGTGTACCATTCCACATCACGTATATGAGGAAGATACAGCAGTCTCACACACAGTTCTAAATATATCTTTTATATTTCTTCTCCTTTGGGAGAGAATATATGTTTCCACCCCACAAAATTCTAAGAGGTTATTTTTAAATATTTTTGCTCTGTACCAGAACAGATGTCTAATGAAAGGCTTGAGAGAGAAACTGCAGGCCACAACAGCCTCATCCAATGGTAAAAGGACTCACCTGACACATGGAAAACAAGCCTCAGCCACAATGCTACTTAGATGTTAATATACTATGTGCCAGTCTAAGTGAAGAGACTAAATAATAGCTGTGAATCTGTAGTTCAAGTGTCTGTCTCAATAAGGCAGTGCAGGGCCATCCCACAGAAGTGATCTAGTCCCCAGACTATTGGTTACTCCAGAAGAAGAAAATTTCTCATCATAATTGTGCTGCAAAATTTTATCCTTTTAAAAACAACTACACATTGCAAGGGAAAATTGTATTATTTTTATCCAGCATAGATATATTTTGCTGAAAAACTTCCAAATCAGCACTAACGTGTCAAATTTCTCCTCTTAACAATGACAAAAATATTACCTCTCTGATTTTCTTCCACTGTTTAATCATCCATTATTTTTCCATTGATTCTTATTGACTATGACAAAGTCAGGGTTTCATCCTAAATTTTCCTCCTGATTAGCATGTACAGATAGTCTTACAGGTAAAATGACACCATTTCTTACCATGAATTCATTTTGTTTCAAGATACTGACATCCCAACTGCATATTTTAGTTTGAACATCTAAGATCTGCTTTCCCAATCATGTAAAATCAATGATAAAAATAATTTTTAAAAAAACATTAAAAAGATAAAAAGAAATTAAGACGTAGATATTTTAAATAACAGCATTTCTCTTTGCTATACTTATTTCACAATGAGTCGTAAATTAGGCTAGCTATATCTGAGAACAAAATGAGAGATGATGGAAATAAAAAAAGAAGTAAACACAATATATTAAAGATTCCAGAGTAACTTCCTTCAAAAGCAAAATTTCAGCAACTTTTAGACTGTAGTAAGTCATGTCTCCTGGCTGCTTTGCTAACCCTTTAGAAAAAGAGGGTTGACATTAAAATCAAGAATCATGTTCATCTGCAAGTGTCAAAGCACTTCCCAAATTAAGCCAGTAAAATAATCTTCTCAGAAATGGTGCAATGAAGGCATTAAGATGAAGGAAAAATAGTTAGTGACAGAACCAGGGATGACAGTCCAGGTGTTCAGTCACCCAGTCCAGGCCCTTGTGTGCTAAACTACCCCACCTCTGACAAATGAGTTAGGCTTCTTAAGCTGCAATTTCAAAGTGATTTACTTAGCAATGTGAAACCATGCCACTCAACATGAGAAGATACCACTTCTGCTAGTTGCTCTGATTACAGTCACCTTCTGCCATTCCTCTTGAGAGCACAGCGCTCTGACTGCTAAGCCTGTTTTGGGGACTTCTCAGAGGTGGCAAACTGAGGTCATTTGTCAGGATGGAGAAACCACTCTTTATTCTTCCTTGTTCTTGTTCTTCCTCTTCCTCCTCCTCCTCCATCGCCCCGTCAGGCATGCTCATCAAAGATTTTAACTCGCTACAATGAGCTCCAATGATGCCCACCCTGTTAGGAAACATCGTGTTAATCTGCTTGACACAATGAAGCAAAGGAAAACAGGAGAAAGGGGGACAGATTTGTAATGTTTCCTAGGTAAACCAGCAAGGAACCTTGCCTCCTTTAGCTGGACTGTACATAACACATTATGCAGAGCATATCTGCTCTCCCCCAGGGAAAACCAAATAACCATTCTTATACCCTCAGCACCTTGCACACCACGTCATGTTCCTGTCTGGAGTGTGCATGCACACAACATGAACTGCATGCGTCCAAGTGAAGCTCAGCGCTTCCTGGAAAGGTTGGCCCTGTTGCATATGAATTACATGACCCGGTGCATAAGCTATAAAGCCAAGATGCTCAGGATGCGCCCAGCTTCCAAAGCATGTGCAAAACAATTACATGTGCATTTGTAGCAAATCTCACACTCTCAAGAAATACTGGACTTGCTGGTCACGTGTTGTAGATACGTCCAAAGATTTCGCATGTACAGTGCTGTAGCATTCATTAGATTGCCAGAACTCTGGAAGATCCAGACAAATTAAGGCAATTCTCAAATTCTAATTTGCAGGCCGAAAAAGAAGACTTATGTGGGAAAGTCTTACAGGGAGCCTTAGATATACTTCAACAGAGCAAATCAACAGAGCAAAACTGATTTACAATGGTCCTGTTTACATGAGTTATTACATAAAAAAGTACTGTAGCAATACTTTGGTTAACCATGGCTGGATGGAAAATGGAATTCCCCTCATATGGCGTACCCAGGCTTGAAAAATTTTTATTTTATCATGAATCAGAAGAAAAGGTTCTATTTCTGTTACAATTGAAATTATATTTTAAAAGTACAATGTAGTAACAAAATGACTTTGTCAGAATAAAGTACATCAGTAACGTCTGATCAGAACACTGTTAAAAACTAACAGTCAAGAAGAAATACGAAATTGGAATGAATCATGAGAGGGAAAAAAACCAAACATCCTATTTTGATTTTGAGAGGTTTTGATTAATTTCTGTTCAAATTTATGTTAAAGCATATTTCCTTTCCCCAGAAAACTTGTTGAGTTTTAACAAAGCAGTACGATGGACAGTAACTTTGCCATCAGTTAACCAAGAGTACTACCTCTGCAAGTTTCAGGCTCACTCATGCCTGTCTTGCCTTCACTCCTCTTCCTCTCTAACTCCCATGTAGACCAAATTCTCAGTCCAATGGCCCCTCTCCCTGTGAGGAAGAGCTAGCTGTCCGACATCCTTCCTCATAGCACTACCAGATCTATTTATGCAGAGAAATAGCCCCTTACTTGGTAGTGAACAATTCTGAGAAGTCCGGCAGTCCATCGCACCTGCAGGGTCGAGGGTCTCTGCCCCGACAGTAGTGGTTCTGGGAGAGGTATTGAGCACTGTCCTTCGGTAAGGGCAGCAGCGTGCTGAGCACTGGCGAGCGCTGGTGAACCATGCTGTTTATGGAAGGATGCTTGGCATGGACTTTTCTTGAAAGAAAACAAATGCAGGTGTTACCTCAGTGTATTTGGACAGGACAAGTTCCCTAAGGACTCACCTGTGTGTCAAATGTGTACCTCAGATATGGCAATCGCGCTGTATTTGCATCAGCAGTCCAGTCTCCTGCTTTCTGCAAGTCAACATTGCTCCTGTCTCTTAAGGCAGGATTGAACATGTTGGAGAAAAGAAGCCTGCCGATTTCTTCCCGAATCACTTGGAAGTGCTTCCGTCTGAACACAAGCCAAGCCACATAGCTGCAGTAGTTGTAGAAGCCCTAAATTGAAAACACAGATCCCCTTTTCATTGGGAAAAGGCCCAGAGTCCCACTGCATCCCAGAGTGGAGGTTGGCATGACTCCACTAAAATTTGGCATCAAACTTCACCATACATCAGTGAAGATTTGAAAGGACTGGTTTTTTAAAGGTATGCAGACAGGCTAGAAACAGAGTTAGCTCAGATGGATTTCATCTTGCTCAACTCTGACCAATTTGGCTTAGCCTTGCTGCTAGAAACTAAGGCAATAACCTGAGATGACCACCCAGTTTCCCTCAATAATCAATGGAAAGAGACCGATGGGATGAGTCATTCTGTGGGGATTCCTATCACATGCATCTATCTCAAGAGACAACAATTCACCCTCTGACTGAGCTTCTCTTTTCTGCATTGACTGCCAAGGCAGCCGAAGGGCACGGTCTGACTGGACAGCTGTTGTTTGGGCAGCCGCAGGTAGACAAGATGATTCCCACCCCGAATGATGGTATTATGATCACAGAAAATATTACTACCAAATATGAACTCATCGCATCTCACCTTCGCATGTCTGCTTGCTGATTAAAAAAACAAAATCTAGCTTTTCACTCCTATTTTACATTTGTGATCCCTAGCATAAGCTGAATCAACTCCCAATAAATCGAATGTCTATTAAGTCTGTTCTTGAAAAGATGGCATCACCAGGACTGCTGTGTATCCTTGGAATTGAATCCACAGTTCTCCTCTTTCAAGGAAAGGCTTCCCAGTTTATGAAGTACAAAGTATAATTTGGGCCCAGCTGTTTCGTATTAATTTGCTGAAGCCCTGCTACATAGTGAGTCTCATAAATGGCTGATGGAGCTGTATGCTGCAGGCCAGAAGAGCTTATTGGCATCTAGAAAGGTCACCAAGGGCAATGGAAATAAAAGAAGGCTGTAAAATTTCTTACCTACAGAAATAAAACTATGAGGCCAATGATGAGAAGAAATCTATAGACCATACTTCCCAGAGGGACCTCAGGCTGTTGTGAAAACTGCCTGGAGTCCGAGAGCCACAGAGGGAATGAAATTCCCCGGCTGAGGGCTCCAAGTGGAAAAGGCTTGGGCTGAAGGGCAAAGAGATAGTATTTTACAGGGACATCTAGGCCCTAGAGGTAAAATTTCGTCTAGGTACTCTGCCCTACAAGTAAACTACTGGGGGAACCAAAAAGGAAAGGAGCATTTGGATGTCCAGGGGAGGGACATGCTCTGGGCTGACAGTCACACTCTCCATTTATCTTTGTGTCTTTCTTACCTCAAAGAAGCTCCGATCTTTCTGCATCGATGTTCTTCTCCTAAGACAGTAAACAAGAGCACAAAATTAACAGCAGCAGTTGTCCTTTCAGTTCTCTGAACAGAGCATTGAATATGACTCATGGGGCTATGCCAAGCTGGCATTTCACCAGGGCGATAAAGTTGTTGCTGGTAGATCCTCATTACTAGCTGTCGTGGTTTAATCTCAGTCGGCAACTAAGCACCACACAGCCGCTCGCTCACTCCCCCCCACCCGGTGGGATGGGGGAGAGAATTGGAAGAGCACAAGTGAGAAAAACTCGTGGGTTGAGATAAAAACAGTTTAATAATTGAAATAAAATGATAATAATAATAATATGATAATAATAATAATAATACACAAA